AAGCGCTCCAGCAGCAGGACTGCAAACACGATGACGTGAGTGGAATAATCTGCCTCTCCGGCTCTGTTGCTGTTTGCCGTTACTCAGCATACTGTCCACAATCAGGCCGATGGAATGCTGACTCTTTATACGGCCTAGTCAATTTGTCATGACTGAAAACAGAAAAAGAAAACGAATCCTTTTTGCATGGATCATTGAGAGTTTAGCTAGAAACACCACGTGGCCTTGGAGGACTGCAGAGTTTGCTCTCCTTGTGGGACCTGTTGTGTGGGACTTTAACCCATGTTTGCTGTGGTGATTCAGTGCTAACGCCTTGCCCCTCTCTGTTTGTCTCTCTCCACTTCTGTCCCCTCTCCCCCCGTCCCACATCTGCCAAAATCAGGCCATCGTAAGTACGGCCCGTCCAAGAGGCCCATGATTTCACTCTGCAACAGCTTGACTCTCTCTTCTTACACGTTTCACGTTTTCATCCCTCACATAGCGCGAGTCTTACGTTAACGTTTTGTTTTTTTCTCCTCCTCTTATTGAACCAAAGTCATCTTTGTTGAAGAAAAAGCTGGAGGAGCATTTGTAAGTCACTCGCCGCCGCTTCTTTCAATACAGTGTTAATGTAGCACTGTAGCGCTGTGTGAAAGCGCTATAGCCCGTTCACATTCCATTAGCTTTTGCTTGACGCTGGTTTACCACCGATGGGATTCGTCTAAAGTGACTCCTTCGTTTCAGGGAGAAGCTGAACGAAGCTCACTCTGACCTCCGGAAGAAACGGGAGGTCATCGACGACCTTGAGCCCAAAGCGGATAGCAACAGTAAGATCCGGTGTTTTTTTTTTTTTTTACCCCTCTCCTCTCCCCGACTCCCCTGGCTTATTGGTTCATGCTGTGGAGTTCTGAACGCGCCTGTTTTTCTCAGTGGCCAAGAAGATAGATGAACTCCAGGAGATCCTTCGGAAGAAGGACCAGGACATGAAACAGATGGAGCACAGATACAAACGCTACATGGAGAAAGCCAGAACGGTCAGTCCTCGTCAAGGGAACACACTCTCCTCATCAACACGGCTTGTTAAAGCCGTCATTTCTAGCTTCAATTGAGAAGACATTTGCTAGATATTTGCAAAACAAAGCAGTCTTCTTAAAGGGACCCATGATGTCAGACTTTATTTGAGGAACATTTATTACAGATTTATTTTAAAAATACTTCTTGCATGTAAACAAAATGTGTACAGTAGCGGACTTATACTACAGCTCCATCAGAAAAGGATTTTTTGCGCTTTGAGCAACATTCAAGCCTTTCAGTTTGAGCACCAGTGCAGGAGCGATGAAGGAAAGTGAAGACGAGCTCAAACTGATAGAAAGATTTTATGTGTTGCTCAGACTGGAGGTGAAGCCAAAGTCATTTTTGTTGGAGAATCAGAAATGAGTTTTGGTATTTCTCCTGCACAAAGTAAATATCGATACTTTTTATTCAAGTTTAATCAAACTTTTGGTATAACAACATCCTCTGTCTGGCGACCCCTTGCAGGTGAAAAATATAATCACGGCGAACAATTTTGAAGTTATGAGATTTTGCTATCGGTGAACCGATTTGTTGGTTGCCGATTTTCTTAATTTTGGGAGATCAATGATGGACCAGTACTTTCATATAAAAACAATCTCTTCACCTTGCAAAGGTCTAGAAATGAACCACTCTCCTCTTCTGCTCTGCAGTGAGAGACGTTTGACTAACGGACTCAGACACCAGGTCATGTCTCCATATTTGCGGTTACCAATAGTTGCCAACTCAGCAACTTTCTTGCTACATTTAGTGACGAAAAAATTGGTATCGACCAAAATCGGAATCGGTGGGTCTGGCTTTTTGAAGATTGGTAATCAGTGATCGGCCAGAGAACAGCAATCGGTGCTCCGCTAGTTTTTATGTTTAATAACTTTCAATGAGAATATCTCATCATATTTTGGCCATCATGTTCAACTAGTTGTCGATCCCTTTAACCACTAGTTGCTGTCTAACTGTAAAACGTTACCTCATCTTTTTTATGGCGCCACCACAAAATTGAAATGTCATTTTGAAGTGGAGGAATGCATGATTTTTGGGGGGGTTTTTTCTAGTTTGACCAAAGTCAAAGTAGAAAAACTAGACTAAGCGTTTCCGGGGCGACAAAAAGGCATCACGAGGAGGATGTCTTCTGTGTGCAGGTGATCAAAACGCTGGATCCCAAGCAGCCGGCTCCAACTCCCGACGTCCAGTCTCTGAGAAACCAGCTGACGGAGAAGGAAAACAAACTCCAGCATCTGGAGGTGAGACACATAAAGAGCGTCGGCTGGCGACCTCCGTCCATTTTTTTTTTTTTGTTTTTTTTCAAAGTGTCACTAAAAAGCGCCGGTTCGTCTCTCCTCCAGCACGACTACGAACGGAGCCGAGCCAGACACAGCCAGGAGGAGAAGCTCATCATCAGCGCCTGGTACAACATGGTCAGTACAAGGAAGCGACGCACGTTTTTTTTTTTTTTTTTTTCCAGCTCTGCGTTTCGCTTGACTCCCGCCGTTTCCTCCGCAGGGCATGGCGTTGCACCAGCAGGTGTCGGGCGAGCGGCTGGGACCCGGAAACCAGGCCATGTCCTTCCTGGCCCAGCAGAGACAGTCCACCAACGCCCGGCGCGGCCTGGTCCGCCTCCAGCCCAGATGAGACGGGACCGGACCACCTCGACCTTGATGCCTTCACTTGGGCCGCTGCACATATTTCCCTCCGTCTCTTGTGTTGCTGCTGCCCCCTGCTGGCTCAACCACAGGAGAGTATTGCGTTTGTCTGTAATTAGCATCCAGCAGGCTTGTTTCTCCTGTAGCCTCTTCAACTCAGTCTTGTGTTTTAATCTTATTTTATTATTATTTTATATTAGGTTAAATGGTACAAGTTTGGATTATTTTAATGTGATAGAGAAGGGTACTAATAGGAAATTTCCGGTGAAAGAAGGCGTATAGTATAAAATCACTACACTGTTTTTGTTGCGTTGTCTCGCGTCTTCGTCTAAAATGTAAACACTGGAGGGAACCGAGTCGTCAGGGGTGGTTGGGAAATGTTTAGTGTTCACCTAAATGTTTTTCTGCAACGCAAACTTCTTAGAACTCTTTACACTGAAGCACTTTTATTGTTAGGAAGCTGGATGTGTTTAGTGCCTTGTACAGGATCAAAACTGTTTCCTTGGTGGAGCAGATCAGCGATGAAGATGATCAACCTCTTCTCTGTTTTACTCATCAAAGTTAAGATTTATTTATTTTATTTTTTTCTCAATATTGTTAATTTTTTTATTTTATTTTATTTTTTGTCATCACACTAAAAGTTGAAACGGGGTATATGGTTGTGGGTGGAGCCTAACGGCGCTCACCGCTACCCGCTGCTGGAGTCACGTTAATCCCAGTTAAAGCTGGATGATCAAACTACTGACGTTCGGCCATTTTCTGCTGCTGACGCCTCATGGAAGGAAACTTTGACGTAACGCCAGAATCTGACAGGAAGAGAGCGGCAGATAAAAGGCATGATCAAACACTAAATCTGGCATTTGTTTACCTTTACCCAGACTTTTTTTTGTTTTGTTTTGTTTTTGCTCATCCCATATCAGAACTGCGATCTTGTAACTTGTTTGATCCCCATCGACGCTTTGTGCCGTTTTCTCTTCAGGCCACAGTCATGTTGCTGTGCACGTTTTTCTGCGTTCATCGCCTTTGTGTTATTTATGGTTTGAAGCCGGAGCATGGTGTGAAGGGGCGTGGTTGTGTTTTCATACTGCGGTCTGTTGGATGACACGGTGCTGCGACGGGGATCTGAGGCACGAGCCGTGGTTCTGTTCTACTGCTGCACATCAAATAAACTGGACCCAAACAGGAAAGTCACATTCGTTTTCGTTTCTCTACATTCACTCTTTTAGGTTCATCTAGAAACTTCTGTGCATGGAAACGACATCAGGCCTTCAAATGTAATTGAAGAGGGGGAAGGAAACACACGTTTCCTGTGTTTTTCTCACAGGAAACGTGTGAGAAAAACACTTGGATGGAAATATTCTGGAAAAAACGTGGAAATTTTAAACAAAAACTTTTAATTACTGAAACTAAATTTCCCAAATTTTTCTTGAAAATTTAATGGATTCTTTTTTTCAGCAAACTTTCTATTTTTGGATCTCAAATATTTCCACAAAAAAAACAACCTGTTAAATTGCAGAGATTCTCAGTTTCTGAGTTTTTAGTTGGAAATGTACTCTTGTACGTTTCTGTTCTTTTTCCCCGTTTACAATGGCCCAAATACACCATCATACTTGTCATTTTTAATATTTAGAAGTGTTAACTGTCTTTTCAGTTTTGTTGGAGGATATCTGAACAAACGGCATCGATGAACACTGAGGGCCACACAAGTCAGGTGGTGGCAGAATCATGCTGTGGGTTTCAGAAAACGTGGTAGAGGTTTCAAAAGACTAGTAGTAATTTACATTGAGAAAAAAATTACGTTTTACAAACTATTATATTGGTGGCCTGAAAAAAAAAGATACCCAACTCTTCCCAGGATTTGACTTAAAAAAAAATAAAAGATTGAAACCAGGATTTTTTTTTTTTTTTTTAACGTAACAAAATGTGTAAAAGTTTTGACTTTCCCGAAGCTTAGGCTCTTCTCTAGGAACGTTGTGATAATTCAGTCACGATCGCAAAGGTCAAGATGAATAATCCAAACTTCTCACATCCTTTGTGCAAGTGTCAAAACAGCCCAGTGAACTACGGGGAGGGCATTGTTTATCGATCGCACCAGATCACATGCAGCTGAACGTCTCCATATGGACTCACCAAAGATCATAATGATCGATAACACAAAGCAGCAACTCTGCTCTCTGTAGCGACGAATCCTGGATTTAAATAAATCTTTAGTTTTGACAAATCTGTGAAATAACTATTGAAATAAGTCACTGTACATCCTTTTGAAGTTGAGATGTACAGACATGCAGAGGAAGTAAACTCAGATTAAAGATTGGATACTTTCATTGTTTATTTTGACACTATGCTACTCAGATGCAGTATTTTATTTTTAAAAGCTTTTTGCATATCTTTACCTGCGGTGTCAATTCACTGCATTTGGGATGTGGAGTTGTATCACACCTTCTTCTGCAGGGTGAATGGAGTTATTTTCTCAGAAATTCACATAAAAAATAAAAAGGAACTTTATCTCATTTCAACAATTGCTGGAGGAGCAGGATGTTTTTCTCGTTTTTTTTCATGTATAGGGGGATAAAGAAAGCCACAAAAACATTCTTAGTCTCTTTTTTAATGCATTTCCCCACAGCGTCTGAACAGCGCCCCCTGGAGTCGTATTGTCGAACGACCATAGAATGTTTTGTAACACCGACACAGTAGGAGGCGCTAGAGACACAACGCCGTTGGGGGGAACATAATAAACATGGCCGACCGACGGTAATGGGTGGCAGAAGTTAGCGACGATAAAGCTTTGAAGTTGCTCGTTATTCTTATCGGTATTTAAAGCTTCTTTCACTTTGAAGACTTCGTCTAACGTGTTGACGCCTGTGGGAGGGGAGCTGACGGCGGAAGGTAGTTTGTTTCTCACCGAAAGGCCTTACAAGAAACGGATGTTAGCCACGTTAGCAGGCTAGCCTGCGTCTGCTTTTGTTTTTTTCTCTCTCGAATTATAACATTTGTGGACCACAAGACGGACGCTTTCTGTTTCACTTGGACATTTGTGCTTATTTTTCAGTCACTGAATTTATTTTTCTTCCTTTGCGGGGTCCGAGTGGTTGTTGGCAAGCCGCCTTGTGAGCATCTAGATTAAACAAACAAAAGCCTCGGGGAGCAGTGAACGCCGCTCGCTTTGAGTCGTCGGGACTGTGGGCGCGAGACATGGATCCGAAGCGAGCGCCCGGCAAACACAAGACCAGCGGCGGCAGCAGCAGCGGGGGCTCCAGCCCGGCGTCCCCCTCCAGCAGCCCCGCGGCGTCGGGGGTGGCCAACGCGTTCGCCAACGACGGCAGCTTCATGGAGATTTTCAAGAAGAAGATGGAGGAGGAGCGGAGGAAAAAGGAGGCGCAGGGAACAGGTGGAGAAGCGAGAGCCACCGAGCAAGGACAGACCTCAGTGGAAAAGAAGGCCCTCCCTGTGACCAGCTTTGTAAGGGGTTTAGCAGTTGTAAGACGAGATAGCAGTAGTTCAGCTCACCCAAATATATATATTTATTTTTTTTATATATATATATATTAGACACCAGTATCAATATTCAAATTGCTAGCTGAGTAAAGGTTAGGGTTGCTCTTCACTGGTGGTGCAGCAGGAGGCTAAATGTAGTCCCTCTGCTCTGGTGTAGTTTCCTTCATTGGCAATCCACCTGCAAGGACCCCTGTAACGGTGTCAGTCTTCTATCCCCTCACCCAGGTGGGGAAGCGCCGGGGCGGTGTGTTCCTTAAGACCGGAATGGTTGCCAAGAAGCAGAAACAGGACGCAGACGTAAGTGTGATGTCTTGTGCTTCTGAGGCATAATCTAAGGAGAATGGAGATCTAAAATGCAGCTGCTTTTGTATAGCACAAAAAAAAAAAGTTAACCCTCACATTTTCCCATCTATAAAACCATCTGCGGATTCCTCATGTCAGCAATTTTTGAGTTTATTGAAAATCAGTCAGCAAAACTATTTCTTTTTCTTTCTCCACACAGGCTGAGGCAGGAAAGAGTGATGCTTGGTCAAAGTACATGGCTGAGGTGAAAAAGTACAAAGCCCACCAGTGCAGCGACGACGATAAAACCAGACCGCTGGTCAAATAGGTGAAGCGACGACGCTTTTAGGAGACAAACCCACCCAGGAGGAGCTCCAGGGGAAACGACCTTTACTGACCTCCTCTTACTGCCAGTTGAAGTCACCTTCACTGTCGTTAAAGAAAGAAAAAGAAACTGCTTTGGCTGACTCAAGTCTTTTCCTTTGTTTTTGTTACTCTTTCATCTCGGTATTATTTTTCATGCCTTAGATGTCATATTTGTGTTAATCCATGTACAACTTAAACAGATTACAGAGCCTACCAATGGTTTTAATTAAATCCAGCTTCAATTGTTTTTGCGTCGCTGTTTGGTATTTTCACTGAGTTTCTGTATAAACAAACGAGTTTGGTTTCCCAATTCCAGACTTTTCCATTGATTTTTATAACATTTGATTTTTGTATTAAGCAAAATTAAAACATTTAACTGTGCTTAAAATACTAAATGCCATGTGAAGATTTTTAGGACGTTTTGTGGACGTCAGTTTTATCCTAAAGTGGAGGTAATGAATTGAAGCTCATTTTGTTGACAGCTCATTTTGTTGACAATTTGTCAACATCTTGATAACATTTTCAGTGCTCAACTGGCTTTCATACGTTTACAGAGCACTATAAAAATAGACAAGTATATACCTTAATTTTAGGAGAAAAAAACTTTTACTATCTGCAAGAACTGTCAAGAGTGTTTAAATAGACATCTTTTTACATTTACAAGGTGTACTTGAATGCACCGCGACGGCTCATAAGCCACGTTTTCAAACTTGGCTGAAGTATTTAATGATGGCATCACGTTAAGGATCAAAGATTTTAATTAAAGTAGGCTTGTGTACTATACAGAAACAAACGTATCGGAAGAATTCAAGTACATTTGAAAACATGTACATCTCTTAAAAAAGCTCAAATTCAATTTGCAGTTTACATTTCTTACAGGTTTCAGTGATAATTACATTATGCCTTTTTTTTTCTCCTTGTTTTCCTTTAAAAAAAACAGCACCAAGTAGACAAACTGACCATGCATCAGAGTGGGAGACGTCCAGAAAGGCACACAGTCCGGTCCGCCGGACCTTCATGCACACACAGCTACACTCGTCGCTGTCCCATTCATTACTCTCCCTGTCCACAGTGATTTAGGTCTATTATGTAAACATTGACAAACTATTTGCCTTCTCTACAAAGGAGCTATAAAATAGTTTTGTGTTTTTTAAAAAAGAAGTCATTCGACCGCGGCGCTATGAGCCGATTTCATGAGGTGAAGCCCGCTTGATCCCACATCCTCGTGGAGCATGATCTGTTCCGGATTTCTTGGCGTCATTAGTGGCACCGATGGGATTTTCACTGGCGCAATAAAATAAAATAAATAAAAAAATCGAGCCGGATCATAGAGTCTTCCTCTTAGTGTCGCCTCCTTGGCTCTGACTGACGTCTGAAGAAGAAGAAGAAAAAGTAGAAATTGTGAAGAAGAGTTGGATGTGATGCAAATAAAGACATTTGGTAGCAATCCCAGTATAGATGTGGCAAACACAGGTAACATAGAAGATATACAAAAAAAAAACAAAACAACCTTTAACTTAAACAGGTTGATATGAATATATTAATTCTGGGTTCTCTTCTCTTCGGATCACTCCACAGATTTTCTACTTTGCCGAAACATGGAGGACGGTTGACTTGGTAAACACTTCAGAGCTAAATTAGCATTTTTGGATCATCCCGTTTAAACTCCAATGATGACAATTTTTTTTTAAATCCAAAAATTTTCTACGTTTCTTAAGCCTTGGCCAGCTTGGCATCTTGTAGGAACCAGAGGCTGACAGACAGGAGGGAAGGAAATTGAGACAAGAAGGAGGGAAAATGAAAAAGGACAAGAAACTTCAGAAAGAATCAACATAGGACAGAAAATAGGTAAGACACTGAGGTACAGAGAGAAAGGAGAGAAAGAAAATAAGAAGATAATCAAAGAAATGAGGTGAGGACATGACAGAACAGGAGGAATAAAAGAAAAGATGGACAGAGATGAATGTTGGATGTTTGTTTTTGTTTTTCAGTTGTAGATTTGCTACTGGAGTACAAGATGAGTTCAACTTTCCACATCTTTACAAGTTGTGCCAGTAAGTATGACAAAGTGAAGGGGATGACTGCGAAGATGACTCCACCGAGACATGCTGCCACCGACAGATGAGAACAGAACCAGACAGCCCGAAACAAACGCCAGACACTAAAAACAGAAAAGGCTGAGCAGAAGAGACGGAGCAGGCGCGGAGGAACAGGAAGGGTCCGATTTTACCTGAGAAAGCGAGCTGCAAGTGAGGAGGCAGAGCAACCTGAGACCCTGACTGGAGACTCTTATACAGATCTGAGGAGACAGGACAGGGCGACGAGGAGGGGGAGGAACAGATGCCGACACAAACAGGAGAGATGGAAGAGAGGAGGGAGGAAGAGAAGGGATGCAACAGCCGGACATCAGGGAAGAAGCAGGAAGGAGGACAGGAGAAGATGTCGGAGATGAACAAAATGAAATATAGTCAAACATTAATTACATTCAGACAAACAATATGGTGATCCAACAAATGATGCCGACGTACAACATTAAACGGGGCCTACGGGAGACGACAGCAGAGCAACACACTTACTGTCCCACAAACAAGAAAAAAAAAAAAAAAAAAAAAAACTGGTATTTCTCATAGATTTTCTTAGTGCGCGACACTCACTCTGGGTCAAGGTAGAGAACGCTGCGCTGTTACTGGCCGCCGAGCTGCTGGTCGCCGTATTGGAGCCTCCTGCGCCCAGCTGGGAGAGGTTCAGCATGGGGGACAAGTGGAACGGCAGGGACACGGGCACCAGGCCCCCCAGCATCCCGAACCCCAGGGGAAGGGACGAGGCCGAGCCGAGGAGACCGCCAGTTCCTGTCGTGGAGACCTGGACGGAAAAACAGCCGGAAAGGTGTTCAGTTAAGAGAAACCTGGATCGGGGGTCAGGGTAAAACCTGCACACGGTTTCTTGAATGACCTGGACCTCTGACCCACTGAAACTGGGTCAGTGGGTCCCACTGGGCCCTTTACGCAACGGTATAGGGCTTGACGCACAGGAAGTTTCAGGTTCCCGTGAAACTTGCACAATCCTACACAAAACTGGTGACAATCCTACTCCAGCTAATCAACCGACGAAATCTCTTACACAATGCAGGCTAATTATGTGAAACATGAAAGTTGAAACATCTTCCAACTTCCTGGGTTCAAACAAGCCGACAGAAAACCTGCTGGGTCAGGAGAGCATCTCACCTTGATCTGACGCCACTTTGAGGCGTATACAACAATATGTGATGTTCTCACTTTGAATACCAGTCAACATGCGACACGCAATTAATACAAAATACAACATTAACTGCGTAAAATAGATGTTGTTTGTGGCGTCTGTTAGGGTGCAAAAAATATGTACAAAGACAGACGCTTGAGGACGAGCGACTGGCTTCATATGAAAAGTGCTTCAGAGGAAGCAAAGTTGTGTCTCGGGTGTTGGGTCCAACCCAAATGACAGCAAAAGGTGAACATTTTTCAGCTTTCGTTAGCCCAGACATTTCTACATGGACATTTCCATGGATTTCAGCAGTGCTTTAGCCGGAGGAGGACATGTGACTGTCCACTCTTCTCTAGTTTCCTAGAAATGGGCGGAGAGGGAACGACGTCGCCTCTCGTGTTTCGAGCCCTTTAGACGAGTTTTTAAACCCGAACACAAACCTGCGGTAGCTGAGACGAGACCGATGATAATGGAACGGACACGACCGGCTTGACCCCCTGAGGTGTCCCGCCCACAGTCCGCTGACGCTGGCCCTGGGTCACCGAGGCTGCGGCAGCGGCGGAGGCACTGCTTCCTGAATGCTTGCTCATAGATGAGGTGTTTATAAGGCTGGTGTTGGTGGCGCTGATAACGCTGGGGGTCTTTTGGCTGCTGGAGGGAGGGTAGCTGACTTGACCCGACTTGGCCACTCCTCCTGAAGCACCTGAGAACGGCGGCCGGAAGCTCGCCGGGGTTTTGGGAGTGTACTGGTGTATGGAGGGGGCTGCCTGAGATCGAGGACTCTGAGAAATGGAGGCCGAGGTGGGGATGCTGGCGGTGGAGGCGGGGGAGACGGTGGGGTTGGGCGTTCGGGGAGTGAGCTTGACGATGGGTGGGATGCTGCTGTGGGCGGACTTGGTGAGGGTGGCGTGCATGGGGGTGATGAAATTGGACTGCGGCTGAGGTTGGACTCCGGATGGGGTTTGTGGGAGGGAGGAGGACGGCTTGTTCTGGGGCGTCTGTGGCAGACGGGAAGTCTGGAAGGTTTTGTTGATGACGAGTGAGGGGGACGTGAGGGTGTGCGGCCGAGACTGAGTCGAAGTGATAATGATTGTGTCTCCACCGGTGACCTTATTATTGCTGCCCTTAAGGAGGCCCGACGGGGGGATGGAGACCCCCGTCTTTGGTCCCGGGGCCACCAGTGGAGAGGCGGTGGGCGGAGGGCGTGGTTTAGCTGAGGAAACCGAGACGGGCATGTTTGCTTTCGTCACGCCCACGCTTAAAGGTCTCTGAGTGTTCAAAACAGTGTGTCTGTTTAGCTGCGGCGTGCCCTTGACGACCCCCGGGCCCTCCACCCTCACCGGGGTCAGAGGAGACGGCGCGTTGGGGGCGGGCCGGGACAGGGAGGTGGAGGGCGATGAAGAGGTAGCGATGTAGTGAGGTGTGCCGGAGCTGGGAGTGCTGACGGAGGTCTTCTTCTGCAGCTGGAGGAGAGGCGAGGCGTGGAGGCCGGGGGGGTTGGCGGAGGTCTTGGGCCTTTCCGGGGACGGCGGCATGTCCCCCTGGGCCAAACCTTTAGCCGCGTTGCCGAGGATGGCGAGCGCCTGAGAGATGGAATCCAGGGAAGGAGCTTCGTCGAGGGAATCCAGGCATATGGTCCCCGGCGGTGACGGAGGGGGTCGCTTGGCAACCTGAGTGGCGGGGGACGGCGCGACACCAGCGGAGGGTGCGGGACGCTGGACCCACGTTACTTCCTGGAAAAACAAATTACACCCTTTTAAAAATGTGTCGGCTTATTTGTGGTGATATTAACAAGATTAACAAACTTCAATGTACTTATACAATGTAAAAACTTTTTAAATAAAATAGTTAAATTACCCATAATTACCCAAAAATGATCCGTAGTTTGGACACACATGACTAAATAATACTGAACAATGTGAAATATTTATAGCAGATTAATACTCAAGTCGTTTTCGTTCCTTTTGGGTCGTTTACATCAAACTGTGTTCCGTATTTTTATAAAAG